TGGGAAGAGAGTGGGTACAACGAGCTGAACCAGAGGAATATGGTATCTATGATGGTGTTTTTCAAAGCCTGATCTTATCATGATAGTAGGGGTCCTCTGAAGCCCTGTGTCAGTGTCTCACACCATTTTGCGGCTTGGCTCAGCTCAGTGCCCCATTGCCTCAGGCGGATGTGAAGGCTGAGATTTAAAGGGATCAAGATTTTGCTGGGAGACAATATGGAGGCCAGGGCTAGAAGGGATTCTGGAATTAGAACTTCTGTTATATCCTCATCCTGTAACTTTTGCATGTGGACAGACTTATAAGAAGAGACATAAAAGGGGGCCTGTGGAGACAGCTGGGTTGGGAGGGAGGAAGAGACTCCAATATACAATCTAAACGGGAGATCACAGTGGCTAGGGCAGGTGTCTGTTTCTGGAAATGACTTCTCCACTCCTTAGCCTGCTTTTTAGCTATTTTCTGTCCTTTTTGCACCTTGCCCTAGAAGAGCATTTTTCTGGCTGTCTATTTTGGTGTGTGTGCTGGTGGGGAGAAGGGGGACAGGAACGGGCATTTGGGGTCATTGTCTGGGAATGAATCCTGGACAGCAGGAGGCTGCTGCACTCACTCCTTGTCCCCATCATCTGTCACCCAGCGAGGGCTGCCGGCAGCCAGGCCACAGACTGCCTAATGAAGACAGAGAGGTGGTTCTGGCTGTGCACAGGTGCCGCTTCCCCATTAACAGAGGTGACATTCCGAAACACTACTCATTACAGAGCAGACATTGGACAGGACTGGGACACATATTGATGGCAGCAAGGCCAGCCAGCGTCTGTCTCCAATCCCATTGCCCCTGAGAGAGCGAGTGAGAGAGGAAGAAAGAAGCATCCTGAGCATCAAACTGGCAGGTCCCTCACCTGTCAGAGAAAAATGAATTCTTGCCACCCCTGACATTGAAGGCCAAGTCATTCTCTCTGCTGCTTGCAGACCCAAGGGTCCTCGCCACCCAAACCTCGAACATTCCGGACGAATCCCTCAGCTCCTTTCCCTCCTAGGAAGGGCTGATGGTGCGGATGGCGAGGGGGTGGGGTAGGGCTGGTTCCCAGAATCAGACCTGGATCGGAGCCCACAAAGTCTTGCTTTAGACATGGGAATGGGCCCAGGTGGTAGCCGGGAGGTATGGAGGTAGGTTGCGGAGGACTACCAGAGGGAGGGTTATCAGGGACCCGGGCAGGTCCAGCCAAGTCTGCCCAGAGGAGGTAAGAACAGGACAGATCTCCCTGCTGTCCGAGGATGGGATGTGTGGTTCCCCTGACACAGGAGCATCCTGTCCATCACCTTGGAGAACCAGGAATGAGGATCACGGAGGCGCCAACAGTTTCACAGTTCCCGAGGCCAGGTGCAAAGTGGCCAAAGGAAGAGCCAGTCCTCCAGGCACTCACACAGGCGCCCGCGCCCCCAGCCCCAG